TAGGGAACAAATGCTACGTGAAGAAGCAAGAAAAAATAAGATGGACTTTCCAAATTTGTTTGGCTCATCGTGAAGTTACTCTAAGTTTTCATATCATCCTATTTTTTCTCTCTCTTAGAGATGAAATGCTTACATTCCCTGTTTTTATCACCTGACAAATATAATAAAAGGGAACACATTTTTCATTTGTATTAAGTAAATTCTGATCAAGACATTGATTATCTTAGTCTCTGAAAGACAAAAGTAAAGGGAAGTTTTTTGCAGAAGATAATTCATATACTGCAAAATGCATGGCAGATATCCTCTAATATTTAGCAAAAAAAAATGCAAGGAAAAAATTATTTTACAGTGAAATCTATTTTGATTCAGTACAACTAATTTTTATCTTCTAATCTCAACTAGTTTTTTTTACAAAAATTGTATTTTTATTCATGACAGGATGCTCTGATTATCAGGCTGTTATAGCACATGTGGACAAAACTACTTTGTTCTTAAAGGAATCTATTATCAGATCACTTTTGCCCTAGAATGCCCAATCTAACTTACAAGCACTGGAGAGGGAAATAAATTCAGAAAAATATCTGTATCTCGAGGCTTTCAGCAGCCAGTCTATGTAGCTTCCTTGCTACCCTGAAGGCTGTCTTAACTGTAGTTCATGGGCACTGTCTTTTAAGAAACTGACTATAATGAGATCTGCTGCTAAATAGCAGCAAAGTTTTCTGCATCTATCACTATGATCTAGCACAAAATGACTTAGAGGGCTTTAAATACATAATACAAACATTTATCATATAAGATCCGGAACTGATATTTGAAGGCAAGTTTGAATTTTGTTTCCTTGACAGCTAACATGATAATGTAAAATGTTGTGTCCCTACAATTTAAAAAACATTTTTAATGCTAGAATGCCAACACTACATATATGCAGAAAGTTATATGAAACAACAACATACATTCCACAGTAAGCACTTATGCACATTTTATTTATTTATGGAGGCATTTTCCCACAAAGAATGTGAGAATTCACACTGTATTTGCATTGAGAATGGGAACTGGGCTGCCATATAGGACACAGAAACAGCTGTTAGTTTCAAAACTAATGCCAATCCTTTGCATTAAATTAGTCATATATCCTGAATGTGGGCAGGTCAGATCAGAAATGGATAGAATGTTCTATGTGAAGAGGCCTCTTTATGTCATCTAGTCCAACTTATTTAAAATATCCTATACGTATTCTTACAGTTGGGTATGTAGATATAACTTAGATTGTTACACCCAGAGGACAGGAACAGATTGGAAAAATACTTAATTAGACACACGTGCTTTTTCATTAAAAAAAAAAAATAAAGAAAAGGGATTTTCCTGAAAAGGCCAATGGGAATAGTTGTACTGTATCTTGCAACTCTTGAATGCTCTAGACAATCAAAAAGTAAGTGTTACAATCTAAAAAATGAGCTGTCATTAAACTTTCCCTGAGATTCACAAATGCAACAGACAGTTCTACAATGCTTCCATCAGACTGTAATTGAAATGGAAAAGCCTTTGAATAAATTAGCATATTTTGAGTCATGCACGTAGGAATTTTTACATGAATCGTAGTATGATGGGAGGAGCATAATATTATTAGAGCTGTTTTCTTACTGTTGCTGTTTGCCTCATTTACTAACACTAGTAGGGAAGAAAGCTGTCTTAGAAATCTTGTTTTCTCAATAAATTTTACAAATATAGAGCTGCCTATTTAAAGCTACTATATGTATCCAAGGACATCTTTATGCATGCACGATTTCAGTTTACACTTTCTCTGATATACAGCTAGATGAGAGAAATGTTCACCAAGAAATCTTTAAACATTTCCAGGAAAGTGTAGTAGTTTCCCTGACAACATTCTGCAGATTTTTTTATGAGAACAATCAGCCAAAATTAAAAGATTATTAACATTTAAGTTTAGCACGGGAGCATCCTTTGTGCAACAAAGTATTATTTAAGTATTTTTTAAATGGAAATGTGCCAAAGCTCAGGGACATTTTCAAATCTGTGAGAGATCTATCAATGGACAAAAGAGAAAGAAAGACCACATGCTGAGTGCATGCTTGATAGTCTGTGCAATTTATTGTGAAGTACCTCTTGTACTAGGCCTGCCACAGAGCCATTGGTTTGAAAGGTTAATGACTGCTGCAATCACAATTTCAATTTACAAGAAATGGGATGATAGGAAACCAAATACAAAATGGAGAGGACCCACTGTGATGGCAGCTGAGCAACAATTCATCAACAAGAGTGCAAGAGCATTGTGAAGCCAGAGTGCTAAGGACAATCTTTTGAGACTGGGAGGGCTTAGGACATTCTTTAATCTCGTTTTTCAAGGATAGCATAGATTTTAAATGGCAAAATTGATGAATACACTCATAAGTTATCCTTTCATGCTTTTCCTTATAACAGCTGTTAGGTCATTGAAAGTGCTTATCTCACTTACTTACATTTTCTGTACTGTATCTCTTCTTGAATTTTAAATTTTGGCCTTGATTACTACCAAAACAAGATGCCATCAAGACAAGCATTTCAGTGCTCTTAGGGCCTTTTTTTGATGTTGTCCTGTACTTGCTTCCTGAAACATCAGATGTTCTACAATGCAGACTCTCCAAAGCTTTCATATATGTACACATATACAAGGATGCTATCTGACACTTGGTGCTCCTCATATATAAACTATTTTTTGCTAGGTTTGGAATGCAACTTGTCTGTAAATCAAATTCATGAAAATACCTTTACAGGCTTATATTTTTATTTCTCTTTAAGTAAAAAACTTAATAAATGAAATTTTGTAGACATCACTTATACTAAAGTAATACAGTAATACTTGCTGTTCTCCCATCTGAAGTCAAGAAGTGTGTGTAATTAACATGTAACCATAAATAATAAGTTAGTGGACATAAGCTGGATGAAATTCTGGTTGCTCTTATCTCAGAACACACAACCTAGAATTGGGCAGGATTCAGGGAAGTCAAGAGGTTGGAATAAGTTAAGTGCAATGAAAGATTATACAGACAAAAAAAAAGTTTTAGCTAGGAAAAGAAGAGACTAGACAGGGTATGTGACAGAGATGTGTAAAGCAATATCTGAGAGAAGTAATGGTAACAGTTACTCATTTTCTCATAGCAGAAATACAGTAGCTATTAAAATAGAAGGAAGCTGGTTTGAAATAGATGTGAATTTTCTTTAAGATAAGGTATAATTAAGATATAAATGTGGTTAAAGTACATAAAACTGAAATATGCAGCTGTAACATTCAGTACAGTAAATATTTCAGTATCAGAATGCAAGGTCACAGAACAGTGTGTTAGCCAAATGATAACTCTAAATTTCCTCTGTTCTTACATCCTTTCCTTTATATGGCTACTGTTGAAAAGAGTATGCTGAGGCATACTAAATTCAACTAAATACAACATTCCAACTCTGCCCTCATCACTGCTGATTTAAAGGCAAACATCACCTCCCTCAATCTGTCCACCAAGACCTCCAGGTCTTTTTCTGCAAAACTACTTTCCAGCTGGATGATCCCCAGCATATATTGATAAATGAAGCACAGAGATGAAGCACATGGGGTGAAGATACCGGCAGGATAGCATTAAGCTGGATTTAAAAAGATGGTACTGAGAAGGGAGGTGGCCAATGGCAGACAGAATTCAAAAAGCACTGTCAAGGGAGATCGTTTAAGTACAGCCATGGGAGAGACTATAATGCTGCCCCAAACCACTCAAACTGCGTTTGATAAAACCTGAACAGGTGACAGGAAAATGAACTAACTCACACAGACAACCTTCTGACAGAGCTGAGACAGACCTGTCCTACCCACTCTCTGAAGAGTTTAGGGAGCTGCAATCTAGCCCAGGTTTTGCAGTAGAACAGACAAAGATGAGAAACAAAACAAAGCATAGCTCAACCAAAAGTAACCCTTCATTTCTGAAGTTTGAAGCCTGGGTTAAGACTACTGCTTTAAACTGATTTATAATAGTCATCAGCACTGGGCATGTTTTACAGCATTTTTGAAAGTAATTGATAACTTTCCAATCATATTAAACACAAAAAAAATCTGAGTTCCATGTTCACTAGCTCCAAATAGTAAAAGATTTTTATACTTGCATGTCTTTAATTACCATGTACTGATAAGGAAATGAAACACTTTAATAAAGATGCATTACCATCAAAACTCCTTTGATGCAATACATCTCAGAACAGAAAAGTAGATCAAGAGCTGGAATTCCTCTTGAAAATTACAGTAAAATAGTAACCAATTAAAATACTTCCTTATAATGTATTATCTTCTTCCATGCGCCATCTTACACAGAGAAGCATCAAGGTCCTTTGTTCTGAGGCTCTAAAAATAACTTTCTTAGAGAAACAGACAGAAGGCTTATGTTATCCACTATGCTTTTACCTTTCTGCCTTAGATAATTAGGAACATTAGCTCATGATTTGCAATAGCTTGGGAATAGTATCATTAACAGGGGAATGTTCTCTAGTACTATGAGGAAATGAAAAGCCTTTAAGAGCAATCACGGTTAATCACTAACATGCCAACATTATACACTGTCTGAAAAGGGAGATGATATATAGCCAGGACACATTAAGTGACTCTATATTTTTCTTCCATTGTGAGCTTTCAATAAAAATGTTGTTTTAAAATACCCTTTCACACAGCTTGCTTTCACTACATCAGTTCTCCTATCCTTTCATTCATCCAGCCTCACACAACTTTTAATCTCTCCCTGAACAGTCATACTTCACTAACTTAAATTATTCTCTGCTTCATACCTTGTCTGCATCTTTTAAACTGTTCACTTGTTGCAGATTGATCATTTCCACACTTTATGCGTGTTTCCACATGCAGCATTTTAACCATGGAAACCCACAAGCTCCATTGAAAGCAACCTTGTACAGCTGAGATCGCAGTGGCATGTAATGTGGGAAGTGGATGATAAATTAAAAACTGAAGTACTTACATTCTTGAAACCTCTATATAAGATCTGAAGTTCCTTCTTTGTGAATTTACTCTGTGCTTCCAGAAGTTCAAGAGCTTCAGGTCTATGCCGTACTGTGGCCATTTCCATTTCATCTTCTACAGTATCTGCAAAATGCAAGAGACAGAAAGGAAAAGCTCAACAAGAAATGCAGGATATAGAAATATCTATCCTATGTAGGAAAAAAAGAAAATTAGATGACATTATTTTAAAAAATGGCTTTTGTGACCTAAAAGACATGTTACATGTTCATTTTGAACTTACAGGGAATCTGCTTTAACGGCTGCATAGAGCATGGAACAGCAATGATGATCCAGAGGTCTGGATATTATTACGGTACTAATATAAATAACAGTAGACTGGAAAGCAGACATTCTACAAGGACATACATGACATATTCAGAAGGATTTTGCTGTTTCTACAACTCTCTGAACAAAGAAAAGACCTTATAAAACCTTGTCTCAGCAATAATATAAAATATATAATATAAAAACTGTGTCTCAGCAATACTGGTGATATACCCTCCATTAGTTACTGGATCAGCCTGGGATTCCCAGTGGTCTCCTTTATGGATAACTCTGTAAGGTGTTTGGGAAGGATATTCCACATTCAACAGTGGGCCTTACTTTGAGTACAGCATGAGAAATCTTTCAGAACAAACATGATTATTCATGGTGAGCAGCTTTAAGGAGGTAACATGAAGATTTTAGCAAATATGAATGCCAATATACACTTTTAAGGCTCTAATATAGCTCTAACAGGACGAGATTTAAATGTGAGAGTCCAATAAAACAGCTAAAGCAATGCACAGTACAGATTTTCTTATAGAGGAGTACAAGGCATACACTTGATCCAAATTCTGACATACTGTATATTGTACTCCTGATAAGATTAATCAAATCACTGCCTTCTGGTTGGATAGTTATACCAGCTATAGAAATGTAACCTGAGCAAAACCTAACAAAACCTAACAAGCTTTTTTTTTTTTTTTTTTTTTTTATTTCTTCAATGGTGAAAATATATATTTTATTTCATCTGTGGGCCTCTGCATTCTCAAAGTAAAGTTTTATTCATCTCAATTTTTGGAAGATCCCAAACAAAACACTCCATTAAAATGGTACTATGCTTACATCTTCACATATTTTTTTTTCTGGTACAGTGCAATAATAATAACTTCTAGTTGCTTGGGAGAAATCTGGCATTAGGAGATCAAGCTCAACTATCCCAAAAATGGACAACTTTAGAATAGAATCACTGAATGGCTTGGGTTGAAAGGGACCTTAAGGGTCATCCAGTTCCAACCTCTCCGCCATGAGAGGCACTCCACTAGAGCAGCTTGCTTGGAGCATGGAATCAGTATATATCAACAACTTGCATAAATGTTCAAAAAATTGTAGAACCTTGTCTTTTCTTCCTGGTAGAGAGAGGTTGTTGCTGGCACTCATCTCAGGAACCTAAGGATTAAAGAAATATTCAACGTGTGTGGAAAGGAAGAAAACAGATGTTAAAAAAAAAAAAAAAAAAAAGAAAGAAAGAAAGAAAAAAAAAAGTGAGTTCCACTGCTTGAGAGGCTTCCAGTAGAGAATGGATGGTCCAATAGCAGAGGCGATGTAATATCAATAGTGTATGTAATTATTATTCCCATTTCACTGGTGGTTTAACTGAAAGAAGAGAAAGCAATGTTCTGCTGTAAACTCTGGGCAGGTATATTTCTCATACAGGCATGTCATCATAATGGTGGTGTCTAAGTGGTTTCCTAAGCCATTAACAGTGTCTTGTGAAAGAACTAAGACTGCAAGTGAAATGGCAGATCATCACATCAAGGACTTAAAACTCAAATCGAGACTTTTTAACGCATGGATATTTTTTTCTGAAGTAATTAAGAATTTCTTTCATGTAACAAAACAGGAGAAATTAACAGATAATTGTGCTTTCTGAATTGTGAATAAATGTCTGAACTGAATTTAGCTAACTACTGCTCCAAGCAAAGCCCCTGTGCAAGGCAGCATCCACAAGCCTAAATGTTACTGTTCTGAACAAAACATAGAAATATTTACATACTTTGAAATACACAAACACCTGTACAATGGGCATAAATGCAGATTCCAAAATCTGACAATGTGTTGAACAGAGCCATTAATACAGTGCAACCTACTGATTTATATACATGCGTAGGTTTTTTGATATATTTTTTTTACTATATAGAAAATAAATAAATTTGGTGGGTTAAGGCAGTGCATATGGTTAGGCTGAAACAGGTATCTTTGATAAGCAACATTGGTTCAGTATGTTTTTCAAAGGGTAAACTGAAGTATTTTAAGATTGGCATGTGATTTGTAATGTTAAATGATCACAGAATCACAGTATGACCAGGGTTGGAAGGGACCTCAAGGATCATGAATCTCCAACCCCCCTGCCACATGCAGAGCCACCAACCTCCACATTTAATACTAGACCAGGCTGCCCAGGGCCCCATCCACTCTGACCTTGAACACCTCCAGGGACGGGGCATCCACAACCTCTCTGGGCAGCCAGTACCACACCACTGACGTCCCCCTGACGTCCAACCTAAATCTCCCCTCCCTCAACTTAAAACCATTTCCCCTCGTCCTGCTGTTATCGACCCTTTCAAAGAGTTGATTCCCCTCCCCTCAGTAGGCTCCCTAGGTATTGTCTACGATCTAGGTATTAAAAGGGCATAAGTTCTACAGAATAACTCTTTATTTTACTTCTACTCTGGTGATTTTTTTTTTTTCAGTTTCCTCCTAATAGCACTGTTCTTCAGAATGGATACGCTTCGGTTTCTGCTGGTTCCTTCTTACCCTAAATCCCAAGACTAGATAGGTATTTACCTCAAGAGCGTCAACTGTGAATTCTTTTCAGATAAGATGACCAAGGAATAAGTAAGAACTTGTAACTTTAGAAAATCAGCAAGTCATTTAATAGATGTAATTATAAGTGCAAGATAAAAGGCATGGTGTTAGATAAAAAAAATGAACACCGTTAATGCTTTATGGCTTTTCAAATCTGATTCTTCGAACATCATTTTCTCCTGACAGTGTTCCTTGAGTACATTTGTTTTATTAATTAAAGCTGCTTCTGTCAAAGTTTTTCAGCTTAGACTCAATGCCGAAAGATTTATTAGAATAAGAAATACAGTGCTAATCCATTTAAAATGACGTCTGCAGATGCCATAACAAAATGTTAAATTCAATCACTGAACCAGACTGCAAATTCACAGAACACTTTGCATTTCATAATTCTTCTGAGAGACATGTTAGTTTTGTCTGGCTCTTTACTTTGGCTTTTTCCAAGTCATTATTTATCAATGTAAGCATTACAGAGAATGTCTTTAGGAGGAACCAGACGTGACATTTTTCATTTAATCTGACAGAAGATATTTTCCAAATCAGTGTCACCCATAGACTTATCTGAGAATATCCACTGTGTATTGGCTTATGGACAAGCTAAAACATATTCCTCTTCCATGCATTCACGGGATGTTTCTGCTGACTCAGACACAATCAATATTTTTGTGAAAAATTCCAGTGTAAACACTATTGACAAAAAATCCACAACTCTACATCATCGTTATGACGTTTGATGAGAGCTTTGAAAGATCAATATCTGAATTCACAGGATTCTAAGAACATTTCAGTTCTCACCTTAGTAAGAAAATTCCTCTCATGTGGCAGTGCAGTTCTATACACAGTTATCAAAGAATAATTAAGTTGTTCCAGAGTTAAGAATCTGTCTTCCCAATGTTTGGAAAGCCTAGCAAAATTCTTGAGCTAAGTTTTAATTCTCCTTGAGAACATCCAGGGTTTATTTTGGAAGGTTACTGAAGCTTTGCCATCATATTTTTAAGGAATTTTGTCTTTTGTATTCATTACAAAGTAACTATAACAACATCATATAGATATGCGTCAGAAATTTTCTCAGCTGTAAAAAAAGAGTGTTGAAATGCCACTTTTATATGTCATGAGTTACACGGACTTTAAATTTACTATCATTTAGAGAGATAGGGACCTACATGTAAAAGAGGTCTCTATTTGCAAATCAACTGGTTACCTACAGGGATATCTGCAAGCTCTTCTAGAAGTTAAATGAATAAATGTAATAAATGTAAAGCCAAATATATGTTCCAGAGAATGTGATGCCTGGTATGTCCTTATTGATGAATATTTCTACAGTGTTTAATGATTTGGTAAAAATGTAGAAGACTACAGTATGGTGGCAATATTAGTTTTTTTGTTAATGAAAAGATTCATTGTAACAGTCTTATCACACTCCATTTCCGTAGCACCTTATTGACACAAACAGTCCAAAAATAAGATCAGTGGGAGCTTTCTGATAATATGCCAACCACGCTGATTAAAATACTATAGCATTCATGAGTCACTTGCTCTCTCTCAAAAACAAAAACAAAAAAAAAACCACTTATGGCCACCATTACTCAGGCAAGAAAAAAACACACACTTTGACACGTGCAATTAAAATGTGTGAAAATATATCTATTTCTCAAAGAGAAGTTTTGTAATTTCTACGGCATTAATGAAAAATTCATCATTTCAGTTCTTTAGTTTCTTCAATTTAAGTTAAGAACACTTTTTTCACATTTTTCACATCTCTGAAAAAGAGAAACAAGTTCATATTTACTTCTTAATATATTAAATAAGTAATCATACGGACGTCATTAATGAGTATCTTAGTATCTTTCCTCCAGCTAAACAGTAGAGACAATTTTTTAAGGCATTTGCGACAGGAGCTAAGCTTTGAAACTTTCATCATATATTAAATAACAAAATGGTAAAATCAACGCGAAAAACAGACATACTCCTTAAATAATAAAAACAAATGATAAAAACAAATCAAAATTTAGGGCATATCTGTAAAAATTGTGCATATGCATTTGCCTGTACAAATCCCAAATTCTATCTCCCTTATTTATTTAATAATTGCATGCATACACACTATTCCAAAACCAATCTTGAGTCTAGACTTACCAGGCTAAAATACACAAATAAGAAAAAGCACTCTGAGATGTACTGTTGAATGGGAAGGCTGAAATAAGTTTTTATCTTTATTATTTAAATAACCTTTTTCT